CCGCGGGGGGGGGCCTCCAGGCCCCAAGGAGCAAGGACCCACCGTGGAGTCAGCCACCCAAAGGGTCATCCCTCTAGAACCTGGGCAAGAAAAAGAAGCGTGTCCTGCACCCCCCACCCCCCGGGCCCCCAGTAGTTCCTGTTATGATTTACCCTGCAAAAGAAAAACTGGTGGGCAAAAACAGAGAAGAAAACGCTCATGTACGCTCACCCTCGTGTGGGAGGGAGAGAGAGCACTGAGCACTACTCCAAGGTGGGGGTTCACGGCTGGGGGTATCCCCACCAGGGACACATGACAAATCTGAGGACTGTCTGCTTTGCGTGGTGCTGACGGGGCGGGGGGGTGCCCGGGACCCCAGCACAGGTGATGACCCGTCCCATGTGCCCTGCTGGACAGACACGCCCCGGGGGTCCCAGTGCTTGCACACTGGCCTGTGCTCAGACGGGGTGCCACGTTCACAAGGGCAGAAAGGTCCACCTTGTCCAGAAAATGCCAGAGTCTCAGAGGCTCACTGCCCTCCCCTTCACCGCAAAGCCCCAGCACGGCCCATCCGAGCGGCCAGCCGAACGATTCCCCATGGCAGACGCACCCAGAGGGCTGGGCGCACAGAGCCAGGCTCCCAGGGCCCAGCCGCAGACCTGCAATCCAGGCACCCAGGGCAGGGCGGGCTTACCGGACACATCGTGGAAGCTGATGACCTGGTTCATCAGGGCGGTGGACAAGATGATCTCATCGAAGACGGGCACGCTGCCCCCCACCATGCCCGTGTTTCCCCCCTGCGGGTTCACGGCCAGGTTCCTCTCGTGGCAGTACCTGGGACAAGCACAGGGGTCATCAGGGCCCTCTCCCCACACCCACAGCACTATCCCTGCAGGTCAGCACCAAACCCTGATTCCGGACCCTCTCTTCCTGCCTGTGGCCTCAGTGGGGAGCCTCCTGGGTCCCTACGTGGGACACATCTGTAGAGGCCCATGTCTGTCACAGAACCTCACTGAGCGACGAGGCTGGCGCTTTCCTAGATCCCAGACGGGGTGGCACGTGAGGCCCTAGCGCCCCATGAGGGCCACGCCGCACCCCTGCTCTTCCCCAAGAGCCACACAGCTCCCAGCGCCCGGCTCCTTCCCACCCTGCCCACCTCCGCCCACCACGCGTCACACACGTCCCCGTCACAGGTGCACCCCATCCACGGCCAGTCTCCAACTTTGCAAAGACCTAAGCGCAGGGCCCAGAGGGTGTGGGTGAGAGAAGGAACGCACTTGCCCGTGGGAGGGTCTGTGCACACGCATCCCATGACCCGCCCTGCGAGGTGACGAGCCCCCCACAACGAGCTGACATGAGTGTGCATGCGCCCCATGTGCGCTAACTGCTGAGGCTGTTCTGAAGCCTTAGTTACATGAGCATAAAAGTGCACAGCCCTTCTGTGCTCTCTGGCAGCTTCGGGGGGCCGGTAAACTGCAGAGCACATGTGGGGTGCATGCCCTCATGCATTAGGAGGGGGGTAGAGGTGGGGCGCCTGGGTGGCTCAGTCAGTTAAGCCTCTTGACTTCAGCTCAGGTCATGATCTCACGGTTTGTGAGTTCGAGCCCTGCATTGGGCTCTGTGCTGACAGCTCAGAGCCTGGAGCTGCTTCGGATTCTGTGTCTCCCTCTCTCTGCCCCTCCCATGTTCATGCTCTGTCTCTCTCTGTCAATAATAAATAAACGTTAAAAATTAAATTAAGGGGCGCCTGGGTGGCTTAGTCGGTTAAGCGTCCGACTTTCGCTTAGGTCATGATCTCGTGGTTCGTGGGTTCGAGCCCCGCGTCGGGCTCTGTGCTGACTGCCAGCTCAGAGCCTGGAGCCTGTTTCAGATTCTGTGTCTCCCTCTCTCTCTGACTCCCTCCCCTGCTCACGCTGTCTCTCTCTCTCCTAGAAATAAATAAAACATTAAAAAAAATTCTTTAAAAAAAATTAAATTAAAAAAAAAAAGAAGTGGGGTGGAGGAGACCGCATGGGTGTGCTTGGGGGCAGGACACGGACTAAGTCAGATGCAAGAAGACAAATACTATATGATCTTATATGTGGAATCCAAAAACCAAACAAACAGAAAGACAAAGAACAGAAGGCTGCCGGGGGCGGGGGGGGGGGAGGGATGGAGAGGTACAAGCCCCCACTTATACCATACACCAGTCCTGTGGATGGAACATACCCACGGGGAAAACAGATGCTGCAGGAACAGTCCGGAACACACGGGGACCACATGTAGCCACAGGACCACTTGCTAACGGGTAAAACTATCAAACCACGGTGACGTCCGCCGCAGGCTAACAGGATACAATTATACCTCAACCTCAAAACCGGCGTGGGAGAACAATGAGCGCCTGGAAACAGGCGTGGATATGGCCAAACGGGGGAGCGGGAAAAGGCGTCACATCATAGGTTGGACACGGTAACAGTCAGAAACCACACCAGGGCAGATGAAACAAAATGTCATTGGCGGTTACCTCCGGAGGGAAAACAGCAGTTGCTTTTTTTCTTTAGGGCTGTCTGTTTCCCAATTGTTCTAGAACAAATCCGATAGTTTACTGACGAAAAGCCGTCAAAGAGGCGGATCCGCCGCCCTGAGGTGTGCCCCCCAGTGGGCTCCTGCCCGCGGGTGAGGCCCTGGCCGGGGCAGCTCGTACCTGAGGATGTGGGCCACCTCCTCTGATGTCCGTGGCTTCAGCAGCACCGCGCTGCTCCCTGCAACGCCAAGGGGCACATCACACACAGAGGGCAGGTTCAGGCTCCCCTCCCAGAACGTTCCTCTGGCAGGCGACCCACAGGAACACAGTTACCACCAAGCCACAAACCTCAAGGACAAGAGCAGGGTGTCAAAAATGGATCACGTCTCAGGCCGCAGGGGGCTGGGGGAGACCCCAGGACCCACGTCCAGGCCCAGGCCCCAGGCAAGGGGCACCCGCCGGGCTTGTGTTTCCCTCTGCAGTTGTAAGTCTCCTGTGCTGCGACACTCGAGGCTCACGCCTCCGCCACCAGGGGGCACCGGGCCTGTCTTTGCCAGAAGAGGTTCCGGATGGCTGACAAGCGGCCACGTCTCTCATCCATCCCTCCACCTGCTTTATCAGCTGACTTCCCAGCACAAGGAGGGGTCGTCCTTCCCTCTCATATTTACTTAATCCTACCTGTGGCATCTCAGGGGCTCTTACTGGATGCAGCAGCTTACGCACCAGCTCTCTGCTGCCGCGCCTGATCTGCTGCCCGGACGCGGCCAGCAGGAGCCCCTCCGTGCCAGCCCCCCGGTGTTCCCGACCACTGCCTCCCTAGGACGGCCAAGCTTCTCTCTGCCCCCTTTGACTTTGTCGAAGCATAAAAGTAGGTGAGGGGGCTTCAGAAAGGCAGAAGGCTTCGCACAGCATCCTCCTAGGTCAGTGGCTCATCGTGGAGCTTCGAGATCTGGCTGTGGTTTAGTTTTTTGGTGTTTTTTTGGGGAAAAGGTAAGTTTTTTTGTTTTTTTTTTTTTCAGAAAATGTAGGCCCACATGAGAAGAGGGGCAGAGGAGGAAAGAGAGAATCCCAAGCAGGCTCCTCACTCAGCATGGAGCCAGACGGGCTCAATCCCATAACCCTGGCATCATGACCTGAGCCGAAATCAAGAGTCAGATGCTCAACTGACTGAGCCACCCAAGTGCTCCTTTATTACCCTTGTTTTAAATGTAATTTAATTGTACATCTACATAACTTAATTTTTAGTACTGGCTATGTTTTACAACTGGCTTGAAACAAAATTCTACCAACTTTTTAAAGTAGGCTTCATGCCTAGTGAGGAACAAAACACGACCCTGAGATCAGGACCTGAGCTGAGATCAAGAGTTAGACGCTTCACTGACTGGGCCACCCAGGTGCCCCTCTAACAATTTCTCGGTAGTTGGCTCTCCGGAGCCAGTACAAGCCATCCCCAGCACACCACTGGCCCTCGGCCCCGAGGAGGCCTCGGGACTGCAGTGAGCACCTCACGACACTGGCCAGGGGGACACAGCTATGGAGGTGCTGCTGGCTTATTACTGCGCCTGCTTTCAGAACGTCCGGGAGGAAGCGGGGGCATCTTTAGACAGACTGCCACCAAGCTGTGCCCTGGTATCCTTTCTTCCTTACCTGTGTGGAGGCTCACAACTGAGGGCTTTCCTGAGAGGAACAGAAAGGGGGAAAAGAAGCAGGCAAGGCTTCCATGCAGACAAGACCGAGAAGAGGAGAGGCCGAAAGCCTCCGCCCCCTCGGGCTGTCCGCTCTCAGCCTTCAGCTGGAGAAAACAGAGTGGGTGGGGAACAGATGACTCTTCTTGGTCTGGTAGTGGGCTCAGGCACAGCTCCGCTACCCGCCCTGGCTCCTGATGTCCCTCTCGGGAGGGTTCGTGACCCACCCACCCCCAGGGGAGAAGAGTGCCCCCGGAGGAGGGGTGGCAGGCAGAGCCGGGATCCGAAAGGGGGTCAGTGTGATGGAGAAAACACAGGGCTACCAGATCACCCGAATAACACGTCCATCGGGGCAGAAGAGGATGCTTCCCCACATGGGCCCCTCTGCCCGGGAGAGCGACGGGAGGGGCAGCGAGCTTCCCGCGAGGCTTCCTACCGGGCCCTCCGCGCCATCAGCATCTCCCTGTCCTCCGCTCAGGGAGGATTTGTTTCTGTTCCAATTCTTTCATTTTTTTCTTCTGCTATTTTCTGTTTCTCTAGCAGCTGATTGCTGTGAGTCACCTCCTCGAATTGGAGAATAAACATGCTTCCTACACCTTTGTCACATGCCAGTCTCATCCACCAAGGTCATGAGCTCTCTATCTGTAAGATACGTGGGCTTTCTCGTTCTGTTTAGCGAGCCGTTCAGTCTGCACGTCTGCAAACCTCCCCGTCTGTGGAGAGCCAAGGCGGGCTCGGAGCTCAGCCCAGGGCCCCGTCAACACCAGAGCCGTGGGGCTGCCGTCTGGATTTCCTCTGTGCCTGTCTCACGTCTGTGGTTCTCAAAGCCCTTTCTCAGTTTTCCTCAAATAACCTATGTCTGTCCTGCAGTGCTGATCCTTTGGGACGGCACAGTCCAGGGAGCCTGGTCACCCGTGAGGACCCTGCAGGCTTCAGCCACCTACTGTAGGCTTTCCAATGGTGTCTGACTGCCACCACCACCCCCCACTCCGTGTGCCAGGGCCCGCTGTGGGCACCGAGAGTGAAAACAGACGAAATGACCCTTTCTCGGGACACTTCTTGCTCACGTGGGAAAGAAATGCTCCAATGTGTCAGCAGCAGGCACCGCACCCACAGAGCGCAGAAAAATCATCAAAGACACAACTCAGGGAGACGGCCCAGGAATGCAGCAGAGGGGTGTCTGCATGGAAGGAGCCCCGGAACAGCCCGAGCCAGCAAAGGGGAGCCTCGTACAAAAGCCGCACATGGGCTGAGGCAGTGTTCCGCTCTGCACACCGGGGGTGTGTGGGAGGGGCATCCCTGCGGGCAAACTGCCTCACGTCCAGCACAGCCAGCATCCGGCCTGGCACCTGCCAGCAGCGCCTTCACCCGGCTGGGAGCCCCGGGCAGCCCAGTTCTCGCTGGGGCAGCTGTTTCCTGCGGCTTCTGAGCCTTCCTGCCACATTCACACTCCACCATCCCGGCTCCTGGCAGCCGCGGGCTCCTCTCCCTAACTGCGGATGCCACCTGGCTTGCAGGACAGAGGCACCCGCCTGGCCACACAGCAGACAGACCCCCGTGTCCCCAGCTGCCCCACAGCAGACAGACCCCCGTGTCCCCAGCTGCCCCACAGCAGACACCCCCAAGCTCCCAGGTGCCCCACAGCAGACAGACCCCAGCAGGTTGGTCCCTAACACAGCAGCTGCCCCTGACCTGGCGACCCATGCCTCCCCACAGCTTCAGGGGCTCTAGAACACACACCCCATGTCTGTCCTCGTCCCCGGCCTCACCTGCTCAGCCCCACTGGCCACAGAGTCGCCAGCCTCGGGTCTGGTGATGGACTCTGCCCTGGACTCCAGGGCTTCACGCCCCAACAGGCACCTTGGGCTCGTCCACCTGGTCCGTCCAGACCCAGGTTCCCGCCTGCCCCACGAGACCGGCTCCCCCTCCCATTGTACTGGACTAACGGACAGCTGCTTCTGGGACCTGCTGAGGCCAAGGGGCCCTGCCTCCTTGCTCCTCTGACACCCCACCTGGCCGTCAGCAGGTCTGGGACTCTTCCTTCCACACACACCCAAGCCCCGACACCATCTTACCTGACGGCCCCTTGAAGACTCACGCTCTCCTCCTGGCTCCCCTGGCTGGGCCGTGAAAGCCTGTGCCCACAAAGCTGCCACAGTCAGGCCACGGGCCCCTCTCTCCGCAGGGCCTCCTAGTAGCTCCCCATCCGCTCAAGGGAGAAGCCAGGACTCACAGGGCCCTCGAGGTCTCGACGACCTAGTCCCTCGCTCTCGGACCTCCCTCCCCAGCCCACCGCAGCTGCACACAGGTCTCTCGGCCCCGCAAGCACGCTAAGCGTGGCCTTGCTCAGGGATTTGCACTGGCGATTCTGGCCCCAGGACACCCTTCCAGGTGGCTCCCTGAGGCCCGAGAAAACCGCCTGCGCTAGCTGCCTGGTGTGCAGCCCGCCCCGCTCGTGCCCCTGGCCACCTTCACATTTGGGACCCCGGCCTCGCACTCAGAGCAGGCACACGGTGAGGTGCTCATTGAAGTTTCTGGGGGTTACCTGTGAGCAAGTGGTCTAACGTTTGGGTGAGATATTTAATGACAACTTCCGTTTCAAATACATACTATTTTTTTAAAAAAGTTATGAAGCCCTGGGGCTCCTGGGTAGCTCAGTTAAGTGTCCGACTCTTGATATGAGCTCAGGTCATGATGCTCCCTGTGCCTCCCCTGCATGAATGCTCGCTCACTCGCTCTCAAAATAAATAACCTTAAAAATATACATGAAGCCCTGGGGCTCCAGGGCGGCTCAGTCGGTGAAGCGTCCGACTTCGGATCAGGCCATGATCTCATGGTTTGCAGGTTCGATCGCTGAGTCAGGCTCTGTGCTGACAGCTCGGAGCCCAGAGCTGCTTTGGATTCTGTCTCCCCCTCTCTCTCTGCCCCTCCCCCACTCACGTTCTGTCTCTCTCTTTCTCTCTCAAAAATAAATAAAAAGTATTATTTTTAAAAAAGGTGTATGTAACAGTCACCCCGTGCTCCTCCACCTGAAGCTCACCCCTGGCTTATCTTGCGTCACTGCTAGCGCACACGCCGTCCTCCTGAGGAACACGGTGTGCGCAGACCCTCACTCACCTCGGACAGTTCGAAGCCAGTCCACGTTCGAAGCCTCCAGCACCTCTGGGTCTGTGATGACCCTCCCGGGGACGATGCGCTCAAAGGCTGCCAGGTCTTCCCCGGACACCACGGAGAATGGCAGCCGCCGCACGGGGTAGCGCTCCCGGGTCAGCATCACCTCCGGGGCACGCGCGGACGTGGAAGAGCGGCCTCTGCAGACCCAGGGGCTGGTGGCCGCGGCTCCCAGCGGGCTGCCCAGCCTGGGCACCCTGGGAGTCCCTGCCCACGTCCTGGGCCTCACAGAGGCTGCCAGCGTGCGCGCCGCCTGCCGCCAGAAGCGGCCCCCCGGCTGCACCAGATGGGGCGCCATCGCTCGTGCCCTGCAAAAGCAAGCGGTGGGACCTGTGACTCTGGACACCGGGACCTGTGAACAGGTAAGCGCCTGCCCAAGTCCGGGCCAGGCCCAGGAACAGGCCTCTTCCAGAGGGAGGCTGCCAGAGGGCAGGGGGCGCTGCGCCCGATCCTGACCCCGGCTGTCTCCCTGCGGGACCCTCCTCTCGGGAATTCCCTGAGCTGCACGCCTGGCTGGGGGCCGGTGCGCCACCCTCTGAGTGACAGTCTGACATTTGCAGTGACAAAGCTGTCTCTTAGTCCCTCCCCCTTCAGGACCAAACCAGGATTCAAGCCACTAAAAGGGATGGAAGCCACTGAATACAACTGACAACAGTTGAAATGGTACGTTTTATGTCGCACGAGCACGTCACCGCGAGTCTAAAACGTGCAGGAATCATAGGAAAGGCGGCGTCGGGAAGCTTTTCCGGTTGCCCGCCGTGCTGCAGGCGCATTTCGACGTGTACCAGGGAGCCCCCAGACCCACCCGGGCGAAGGGCCAGGGGCGCGCCCCTCCTCTGGTGCTCAGACAACCCGAACCGGCGCGCGGGCCAGCGCTGCCCGCGGGGTTCCCGCGCGCTGTGTGACCTCGAGAAAAAGAGCGCGCCTCTCTGAGCCTCCCCGCGCACGCGCGGCACCGCAGGGGAACCCAGCGCGAGCGCGCCGGCGAGTCGAGCCCGCGCGCCCACGTGACGGCACGCAGCCCGGCGGGCTCGCACTCGAGAACGGCCTTGGGGCGCGCCGCCGCCGCCCCACGCCGCCCCGACCCGCGGCCCGCGGCCCTTCGACCCCAGACCCCCGGCGGCCGCGCGCACGCACTCACGTCCGCGCCCCCGTCCCGTTGCCGCCGCCGCCGCCGCCGCAGGCCTTGCGACGCCAGAGCCACTGCGGGCTGAGCCTGCGCACTGGTGCCCCTCTGGCCCCGCCCCCGCGCCTCCAAGGCCCCGCCCCCGCGCGGGAGGGACGCCCTCCAGGCCCCGCCCCCAGGCCTGAGGGCTGCTGTGCGCCGGGTTGCGTCCCTGGGTTCACTGTGCGTTTAGACAACCAGGCGGCTTTGAGCCGCGCCCGGCACGCCCTGCAGGGCTCCGCGCACACCCTCCCACCCCTTCCCAAGGCCTGGCCCTACCGTGGCCCACCCCGCCCGCCCCTTCCCTCTTCCTACTGCAGGGCCCCCTTCAAGGAATTCTGCCCCCCAGGGGTCTCTGGCTCCCCCCAGGGGTCTCTGGCTCCCAAGCTCCCAGTGCCCTGCCCCTAGCCCCCCACCAGCGAGGGGGCAGATATTCCTGCAAGTCAGGCACGCACAGCCAGAAGCCGAGAAGTTCGCAAAGCTGCCTGCGCGCACACAGCCTGAACGTTTTCCTGAGCGAAGACCAAGGCCTGGGACTCAAGTGAGGGGACCTCGGAGGGACCGCACTGGGGCCGGTGACCGGAAAACCACACCCAGGCGGGAAGCAGTGGCAGCCTGGCCAGATTGGCTGTGGAGCCGAAGCAGCTTCCTGCAACTGACATCCCCTGTCCCCATCGCTAGGTGGTTTCCGCCCTCCCGATACAGTACCGGGTACCGGGTGGGGTCCCTCCCCCATGCACCCCCCCCCCCCGGC